CACCATCCAACGCCGTCGAACATGTGTTGTAAGTCCATCAGAACATCACGTTTCGACACTCCCATCACTGGCTAACAGCAATAACAGAACGACCTTGGATAGCATCGTCAATTGGGCCCGCCAGGGTTCCTTCTGGCCCTTGACCTTTGGTCTGGCCTGCTGCGGTATAGAGATGATGCATGTATCCATGCCCCGCTACGACCAGGATCGTCTCGGCATCATCTTCCGCGCCTCACCTCGACAAGCTGATGTTATGATCGTTGCTGGCACGGTCACGAACAAGATGGCACCTGCTGTTCGACAATGCTACGACCAGATGCCCGACCCGAAATGGGTTATCAGCATGGGCAGTTGTGCGAATGGAGGTGGTTACTACCACTACAGCTACTCAGTCGTCAGGGGAGTGGATCGGATTGTACCCGTCGACATCTACGTGCCCGGATGCCCACCCACTGCAGAGGCTCTACTACATGGCGTGTTTCTCTTACAGGCAAAACAGAGAAGGACGAAGATCACGAGAATGTGGTATCGGAAGTAGGCTTATGGCTGATGTCATGTCCTTTACAGAGTAGTACATGTATACCATCCCTGTTCCTCTCTCGATCGCAACCTCCCCATCTCTCATGACAGCCATCGTGCTGGCTTGTTGGATCTGTCTTTCATTTGTCCTGCCTAGCAGAATCCAGGACGCATTTGATCACAGCCTGCAGCGATTCAGATTTTCACTTCGCACAATTCCTTAGACTCAACTTGAAGCCTTGCACCTTGGCTGTGCAACATGGAGCTGAGTGCCGGGCAAGATATAAGATCGTCAATCTATGATGAGGCTGACAATTATCCTCGACTAGCAACGGGAATCGAAGGCAGAGTGACCACCCGGCCTTATATCACCCGACCTGCTGTCAGCTTACTTGCACTCTGATTGCCAAGACGCTTCGCAGGCCGTCCCCCACACTACGCGCACAACCAGTTGCCCGACGTTGCACATTCTGACTCCTGTCAGCATAAAGGTTTCCCCCAGCTGCCTGATTGAGCTAAGGCTAGTTCTCGTAGAGACTGCAAACTAAGCTGATTTGACTGCGCCGCTACAGTGCGTCTGGCAATGAATTCCAACTCTGCACCGAGAGGGGTTCGCGAGGCAAAAACTCTATGCCAAGAACAACGCCCATATCAGAAAACATATTTAAATCCTCCAATATCGCATCGGGGAATGATGATCTTGGTCAATGTATTGAACGGCTTCACTGCGCCCTCGATCGTCAACATGAAGGCTCAAACCCCCAGAGCCCTGGCGATTTGGTTCTGCGTGTCGCTCGCGTGTATGGCCCTCGGAGAACCACTCCCTGATCCTACGGGAGGGTACAACGTCGGCGCTCAGCGTTTCGTCGTCCCCTTCTTGGAAGATAATGATGTCGTGTGGCCGAACGGTGTTTCGACTGAGTACCTCGTCACGCTGTACTATCCTACCGAAGACGAGAAGCCTTGCCCAAAGCCGTACCTCGAACCTGAGCTTGCCAAATTATACACCGACCTGTGGAGCTACAATATTTCTCACTTGACGTCGACGCTGAGATGGAACGCGACTTATCTGAATGAAGAGAGCGGCCCAACACTTCTTTTCGGACCTGGTGGTTGGGGTGTTCCGACGGATGGCGACTACATAATCATCTCGGAACTGATATCACATGGTAAGCTCGCGATCCCTCAATGCGTCGTTGCTCAGAACTCCAGACTAACTTTGCATGGTATGAAGGATATGTCGTTGCTGCGTTTGATCACGTTTATGAGCAGCCTTTTTTGCGGTACCCCAATCGCACGGGCGTCTACGGACTGCCACCGAATTTCAGCAATTATTCCCTTGCCTGGGTAGAGGACTTGCATGCCGTCAGGGTCAGACAGCAGCTGCACTTCATCGGCTACTTCCCCTCACTCGTGGCAAGGCTTGAAGCTCCCTTTAGGACCACCGATTTCGGCACATTCGGGATATCGTTAGGAGGCTCTGCTGCTCTCACCGTAGCTCTCGAGAGCGATGCAGTAGCAGCCGCTATAAACGTCGACGGTGCCAACTGGGGTCGATTGAACAGCACATCGGACTCGGATCTCAAGAAACCCTCGATGATTCTAGGCTTCCAGGGCCACAACGCGAATTCGGACCGCACCTGGAACAACTACCGAGCCTGGCAGACTGGCTGGTGGCGTCTGTTCTCGGTGGATGGAAGTTTGCATCCTGACTGGTCTGACCTGGGGTTCTGGAAGACTTTCGGCACGACACGTACACAGGGGCCAATTGACGGGAGGAGAATGGTCCATATCTCAAGGACGTTCATTCGGGCCTTTTTTGACGACATCTTGCGTCATAATGACCAGCCTCTTTTGGACAGCCCTTCTGAAGACTTCACTGAAGTGCATTGGGACGAAGTTCACAATGGACCATGAATCCAGTGGGTTTTCAAACTGTACATGAAAAGATTGATAATGAATACACCCACCGAGGTTTTGCATTAGAAGACGTATCGATTGTCAGCGAAGGGCATCATAGCTCTCCAGCCTTTTGCCAGCATGATTGCGAATATCAGCATACACAGCGATTTAGCTTTGTTCTTAGGGATTGCCTTCGGAAAAGCAAACGGATAGTCTTGGGCTTATCGGAGATGTGTCGATATCGAATTTCAATCTTGCTTGGGCAGAGATGCACATAATTCCTGCCCTCATACATTTACTATTAAGACTTAGAGAGGATTACACCCATGCCTACTGTCGTTTGGTTGATGTTGGAACAAAGACACTGTAATCCACCTTCTGGCCAATCGGTTCGTATCTCCACCTTCCAACGTACCCGTTGAAGGAGCCATTCCCACCGTTTGTAGTAGCATAGACACCGAGCAAACCACCGGTTGTAGCTCCATCTCCGGCCAACAACGCGTTGTTGAAGACCCAGAGCGACTGCTCAGAACCTACATGATCTGCCGAGCTTCCAAAGAACTCATTGTGAGTCTCATTCCTCGGAGAGATCCTAATCCTAATAGCTCGGCCCAACAGTTCTTGCGGAATTGGTACGATCTTTGGATCAGGAGCTGTTGAGTTGTTGATTGAACGAGCCCTGAGTTGGAAGTAAGGCTCGAGCTCGTCTCCCTTGTCAGACACAGTGGCTTGGTAAATGATACCGAGATCGACATGCTGATTAGGATTGACATAATTGGAGACTCCGACTTCGTCACCGACAGTCTTTCCAAAACCTAACTCGATATCAACAGTAAAGTTGAAGAAAGTGTGTTCCTGCCGTCGAAAGACAGATGTGACACCCTCAGTGGTGACATTGAAGACAGCATCTCTTGTGAGATTAGTGCGAGAGGCAGTCATCTGAAGAGCATTCTCATGACCCTGGGGAGATACGGTGAAGTATGAGGCATTGAATGGAGCTCTCCAATAGACCCAATGCGACGGAATCGTGGATCCCGGCTTGAAATCTTCCACATCTGCTTCTCCAACAAGAGGGCCAACTCCTCGTTGAACAGAGGACTTGTTGGGCAACGGTCCGCTCATGTTTCCGCGAACTGTATCTGCGATAGGCCAGCCTCCTGCCAGCCAAGAGACTGGGAAAAGAACAGTCTCTCTGCCCATGGGATAGTTAAGACTGTTGTAAAGATCCGGTCCTCCGCGGGTAGACAAAGCAACCCCCCACCAGTTTCCAGCCGAGTCTTGAAAGAGATCAGCATGGCCAACAGTTTGAAAATATTCCTTGGTGCCTCTATTGGAAACAAGGGGGTTATGAGGTGCCGCTTCCCAAGGTCCTTTGATGCTCTTAGATCGTGCAATAGTCGCCGAATGATTTAGTTGAGTGCCACCTTCAGCAATCAATAAGTAGTAGTATCCATCCTTCTTGTATACATGGGGGCCTTCGGCATTTGCGCCTCCAGTCCCATTCCAAAGGTCCCAAGGCTCACTGGTATTGCCGGTGGAGAGATCAAGGTAAACTGCCTTGATGGGTGTTCCGGAAGAAGCAACAATAACAGAGCCGTCATCGTCGAAGAAGATGTCTGGATCAATTGTGTCGCCTGGTGTTTCTGGCCATATCGCATCGGACCATGACAGGTCGTCAAATGGGTCCTTTGTAGTGAAGATGACAAACTTTGGTCCTCCGAGCTGGGCACTGACCCAAGTTGAGATCAAGTAGAACGTGCCATTGTTGTAACGTAAAGTACTTGCAAACATGCCAAGGTCTTCACCTTGACTTCCGTTGCGAACCAGAGGGAACTGGGACACCCGGTTGACTGCATTGCTTGCAAGTTTCCAGTCGATAAGATCTTTGCTGGCAAAGACAGGATTTCCTGGGAAGGTGATGAATGACGACGTCGTGCAGAACAAAGTCTCATTCCACTCAGGGACAAAAGCACAACTAGGATCTGAGTGCCACCCTGGAATGATTGGATTGGTGTAAGACGTATTTGCCAGAGAGCCTAGGACACCCAACGGGCATGAAACGAAGGATATGAAACGCAGAAACTGCATATTCAAGGCTGAAGAAAGCTTTCTGTCACTTTGATGGCGAAGGATTCTATGAACATGCAGCTGCCGCCTGCTTTATTTCCCAAACAGTTTGATTCCACCCCGGTCTCTGCTAAGAGCTTGAGTAACATTGATTTGCAGATTCTCTCGTTTGCCCGCCCCGCGTTCCCACTTCCCCGCCATAGTCTAAGGCGGACTTTCCGAGATGCGGATATCCCGGGCCTTCCCCGAACTTGCAGCTACGAAGAGGACAACGGTGGGGCCGAACCGAGCCGAACAATTCCCCGTTGGCTGAATTTATCATTTCAAAGAGTAAAGGGAAAAAAGACTTTTATCGGAAAAGCCTGGAAAAGAACTTCAGACTGGGTTCCAGTTTAAAGAGCCTCTGGGAGATAACAAATCTGACCTGGAGCACCTTCTTTGAACGAAATTCGCCCACGTAACATTGATATAGTATTAGTGCAGGTGGTGGCGTCGGGCGCCCAACATCGCCGTCAATGATCCGCGGTTGTGAATTTTGCAGGAGGGAAAGTTGGAAAGGTGGAAAAATCTAAGAAAAATAGTCTATTGAGACAGTGAGAGTATTCACTGATTCTGTGTATTAATACCGTGAAAACGATATCGAGAACCACCCGAGCCGCCAGCAAAGGCAGAACTTTGAAACAAACAAATAGTATTAGTGCGAGCGAAGTCTCCCCAGATAGCCTCAGAAATGTAGACCCTCACTCCGACGTTAAAGGACTCGGGAGATGAACTCAACAAGGGACTTGGCATAGCAGCTACTCTAATTCTAAGAACGTGCATCGACGGCATATGACGGGCATTGTTGCAGTATCGCCACAACTCACTATGGGTGTCATTGATATCCTACATAATTATTCTGCAGTCTTTTGGCCACTCAGTCTTGTTTATGGCATGCCATGATGGAGCTTGACGATGTGGACAAAAAGACATGCTTAAAGACAGATTTCTGCGCAACATCTAAGGTTGCCTCGCGCTACACCATCAAATTGGCATAAGCTCCTCCGCTTGCCTTTGGCCTTCCAGTCTCATGATGGCTGCATCAGTCGTTGTTGTGATGCCGTATCTGCATGTGTTAACGGAAAGGGGGTTTTGATATCATCTACCTATGTAATATGTGCATCATCTTCTAGAGTCGGTAAACCTCCATATCTGAATTGGCCACGTTTAAACATAAAAGTATTAATGCTATCTCCTGCTGAGCTAGCTAGTTCATCCTGGTGCCCACAGTGATGTTTCAAGCTAAGTTGTCTTTAGTGACTCAAGTGACGACGGCGAGGGGAATGAGCAGGTTTGTTATGGCCCTGCGGGAACGACAATGAAGAACCGAGTCTGGACTGAATCTTTAGTAAGGTTGCCTGAGTCGGCGAGGCATAACGTGTCTCAGCTTGATGATGTGTTAGCCCACACCATCCCACCGGAGGCGATCTCCGCAGGATATCTACCGATAGGCAGGCACAGCCGGCATATGATCGACTTGGTCTGGGCTCAGTGGGTTGGACGACCAGCTTGCCGGAATTCCGACCACGCGTCAAGCCGAAAGCGGTAGGGTGATCCGTGTGTAAGCCTCAAATCCTGCTCGCCTCGTCGCTTTCATAGTATTAGGCGTTGAACAGCCGCGGCAAGTTAGTGTGCCGATGTCCTGAGACTCAAACGTCGATAATAAGCTCTTGCTAGTGCCGGGTCTGCCCTAAATCCAACCTTCTCTAGGCATGCGCTTGGGATAGCCCAGGTCTAAGGATAAGGCCGATGACCCGTCAGCAAGGCTTTCTACGGACAAGCTACCGGAGAGGACTTGATGGACCCCAATGCACTTTGACTGCTACTTGTGATTTGAGCATAGATTATGCGATGTCTGTGATGCGTGATGGTGACAGCCGCTCAGACAGTGTTCTTTGGCTGTACCGTGCTAAAGGCAGCTCTTGGCGATGTTCTTCTTGGCAGCGCTTTTTGGACGACGAAGATCATATTGCAAATCATCTAAGGAAATGGTTTTCAGACGATGATCCATGATTGACGCAGGGATTCCCTAGCGATCCAACCTCAAAACTGACTGTCGCGCTTTATTTTCACTCTAATCATTCGTTTCTCCATCAGGATGTTTTGTTGAATAAGTCATTAGCCAACTTTAAGCCTCCAACGGTGCTAAAACAAAGATGAAAAAGAAGCTTAAGTATTCCGGCGCTAGTCAGGAGTTTCGAGCAAATTACCGCATGTCAAGAGAGCTTAAACTTTCTTTTGTTCCACCTAGCGCGGGGAAGTGGTAGTGCGGACAAAAGGCGGAGGCCGGCCCCGCTGCCCGCGCCTGACAAGACGGGAAGAGCAAGCATCGTGGTTATAGGCTGCCGCAAGCTTCACAAGCTTTCTCCTCTTTTATGCAAGTGTATGGCCTAAAATTTACCCGCGTTTGGCTCTTGCAATGTCCGCGAAGCGAAGGCCGCTTTCTAGATGGTAAAGACATGCACGAGCTTAGATCTACCTGCAGTGACACGGCGAATGAGGCGGACAAGACAAGAGACACTTCGTTTTGCCATGTTCTTACACTATCGTAGAGTTCATACTAGTTGGATGATAATCTGATTGGTGTGTGTACTTGAGACGCAGGGGAATTCCGTAGCAGGGCTGGAGTGGTTCCAGCTTCATGCATCCTTCGTCTTGCGTGCATTCTGACTCTCTCAAATTTACCCGAAGCGGTAGTTTGTCAATTTTGGCTCGAATATGATGAGAGGTTCTGAATGCTTTTGTAATGATTGTGGCATAGTCTCGAAGTACGACGTATCCACTCTAAGGACCAAGACATAGAACATACAGGTATCGTCTCTCCAGGCACTTGGTGTAAGAACCATAATCGTTCTTCCCATGTCCCTTTCTCCTTCCGTTTCCGCGTATAATCTGACCAGCCTCGCACTAATACGATACTTTCAGTCGAGTCCGATCTATCTTGGCATCTATTGTGGAATGTGACCCGAACATTCAGCATGGTGTAAAAGGTCTTGGCATCTAGGTTCAGCCCAAAACACTTATGCGGCTAAACTTTCTTCGTTTCGACTCCACCCAAAAGCTTGTCACTTGTCAACAGTCGTTTGACTTCAGATGGTTCGCGGGCGTAATTGCTCTCGTATGCGACACAAGAAAAGCTTCCTCTGCTGCAGGGCGAAACGATCACGAAAGCATCACGACTTCGGGCAGAAGAACGTTGTCAATGTATGGTGGCTAGATCCGTCGACATCCCTCGGACGAAGCGCAAATACCTAGGAAATGGGATGATGACTCGCAACAAGCTCTTCCATTGACCGTTGAGTCCAAAACTGAGCGTATATAAGCTGCTCAAAAGCGCCATCACAAGCAACATCTTTTCTTCACCATCTCCTTCTCATCTCAGTTCATCGAGCTACAGTCTTGACGGCGTCGACCCTTAATACCTTATTCAAATCATTCATTAATACTACCAAATCGCCAAGATGCGCGTCCCTCAGCTCATCCTCTCTCTCTTCCTCCTCTTCACCTTCGTTGTTGCTCTGCCCGTGCCGGCACCGGTAGACGCACTTGTTGAGCGGGCGCAAAGCGCATCTAAGAAGGGTAGCGCGGCGGGAAGAAAGAAGGAGGCCGCTGGCATCGACAAGAATATTAATATTCAAAAGCAAGAGCAAAAGGACGTCAAGAAGGTCCAAAAGGCCGAGGGCACCAAAGACTTCAAGAAGCAGTCGGGCCAGCTCAACAAGGACATCGCCAAGGGACAGAAGCAACGCGAGAAGAACCAGAAGAACGCGGATCCCAAGAACAAGCAGTTGAATGACGGTCTCAAGAAGGTATGGCAAATGTGTTTTTCATTGTCATCTCGAGCGACCTAGATCTAATTGTTCGTTTCTAGGTTCAAGGTGCACAGGCCAAGGAGGCAAAGCAGGCCAAGGGCCTGAAGGGCAACAACTCCAAGCAAGACCAGGCTACTCTCAAGAAGCTCTCTGGCGAGTTCAAGGGCGGTGAGCAACAGAACAAGAAGAACAAGCAGGCCGTGAGTGTGAACGTCGACTCTTTGAGTAGAAATAAATGCTAACAGGAGACTGTAGGCGCTCAATGGAGGCAAGGGTGGCAAGAAGGGCAATAAGAGGGACGTGGAGGAAGCCGAGGAGATTGAGGTGATGGAATAGGAAATACTCTGAAGACCTTCACCGTCAAGACATATGCCACTGTGGCCCAATGTCCTTTGACAAGTTACAATCCACGCGGAAATGGATTATACTGGAAGATAGCTGACATGGACATGTGGGGATGGTACTGAGATCGATGAACTGAGAAAGGAATCTGCCACCAGCCAGAACCATTGCTAATACGAAACATACTCTGCAGTTGCAGTTGACAACCTCGGAGAATAGTTTCATAATGTCCAAGAAAAGTCAAATTCCTAGCCTGGTTGGCGCGCAACGTTAAATGTGAACAAAAGTAGGGGAGCTTCCTCCCTTAATTCCGCAGAACCATAAAAGTGAATATGGCAGAGCATCCATCGACGATGGTAGCACGTCCCCGTTTTGGCCGTGGTTTGAATGTACGGTCCTGTAACGCACTTCTGAAAGTAGATATACGACGCAAATGTGAGCTGGCCACAGAGACCAGAAGATCTTGACGTTATTAATAGTTCGAAGCTCGGATGCTAAACTTGGAATGCCAGTACGTGTCGGCATGTATTAAGACTGATGGATACCCTAGATTCGCGGACCTTGAGGACCAGAAGACTACACAGGTTACTGATTTGACAGAAACAGCTAAGTGACTTGTACCAAGTCCATCTTTATACGGTCGGTCCGCACAACAAAGTTTTCTTAAATACACGCCATAGATGGGTCATGAAAGAAAACATCTTTGACGAACAGCTCCTCTGAATACGTTCACCAACTCTTTTACCACCAACACTTACTGCACTTCACAACATAACTAAGTTCCACACGGCATTTCATGCATCTACGGGAAGATACCTTCACAAAAAAGGCAATGGTGGGGATTGCAAAATTACCGCCGGAGGTTATCCAGCATATTTTTGATCAGCTTTCGACTGCACCATCGTATTCGCACCTGTACTGGGTAGACGCCAGTTTCAAGAGCAAGCTGTCAGACTTGGAGGCACTCAGTCGAACATGTCGAGCTTTTCGACAGCTGGTCAGGCGAAATCTATTCAGCTACGTCTGGCTGGTGAAACCCGGACATAGCCACCTGATTTCTCTCATTAGAGGTTGGGACTCCCGCCCATATTGTACACAACATGTGCGACGTGTGTGCATTCCTATCCACGCTCCAGAGCAATCTCCTCGGCAGCAAGAGATGAGATTGTCAGATGACGAAGTTCTGTTTATTGAAGAGACACTCAGTAAAATGAGGCTTGCAGTTCACCCAAAAGGATGGAATCGTGGCGGCCATTTCAACATACTTGCCATAATGGTTCCTCTCATGGCCAAATCGTTGAGAGAACTTGAGATTGAGTACATCTTGAGTGAAAATCACCGAAACCATGATGTCTCGAACAAACTTCTCCTGATGGAAGATGACGTCTTTCCAAACTTGGAAACCCTACGCATCAAATGCACACCTCGCGTGGGACGATTTCCAATGGAGCTTGTCAAAGCTATCTCAAAGAATGCCCCAAAATTAAGATCTCTCAAGATACAGCATTTCGACGACGCATGGTTTGACGGATCGCAAACTTGGGAAAAGCTCACCAATATTTCCATCTGGTCGAGTTTAAACATGCAACCGTTCATCATGGAAATTATCTCGACGCCAAAGCACTTATGTCATTTCGGACTTGACAGATGTGTGTCGAGTGTCAGTCAGATGGTGGATATGATTGACGCGTTGGTCGAGCACAAAGAGACACTTAAAGCTCTAAGTGTCCGGTTCCCCGATCGATCGACTGGAGAAACAGCGAGTCTGCTTCTACACAAGCTCTGTAATCTGGAAACCTTCACGACGCAGTTACAGGACGCCGGCACACAGGACGAAAACATTCTACGCCAGTTCCCAAAATCTTTACGAAAGCTGCGTATCGTACGAGCACGAGACCGCCACCATAATCATTCTCCATATCGTTATTGGTTGGAGGAGCACCTTCGGAGACTCAGGAAGACGGGCAAATATCGTAATTTGCAAGTGTTTGTTTGTGATACTTGGGAGGAAAAGGAAGGAGAAGAAAAACTCGACTTTGATGGACGAGATGAGGATTCCGTCGAGAAAGGGTATTTGGGAGAGGCAGTCGACTGGCTGTACTTGATGCCGTGATAGATTCAGATCAAAGACTTGATTTCCTTTGAATCCACAGCAAGGCTTTCTTTGATACAGATATCAATGACAGCGAGTGTACTTCAGTTTTTGTACTTGGTTTTCAGTTCTTGATCTACCAATCACCCCACAGGCGTTTATGATTGAGTTCAGGGCGATTGATACCTTTAGGATACACGATATAGTTGAGCATTCTAGTTGAGTATTTGCCAGGGCCTCGTAGTCGAACTAAGGTATCAATACATACATAGCTCGGCAATTCATCGTAAAGCCAGGCAGATTGCCGCTACTTTGTGAGCCTCCAGCTGTACTTGACGTTTGTCTGATAGTGGAGCCATCAATTGAGACCTCGGAAATCTATTACTTCATTCATTTTATCATGTCTTCGAATTTCTGAACGAGATCCTGATTCAAGGTCAGTCCGATGCTCATAGGGAACGTTACATCTTGGCTTTCCCGAATGTACTTACGTTGAAGTTGCAGGTGCTCATTGTCTCAAACACGGCCTTGTTGTTGTGCAAGCTCATGCTACTGATGCGGGGTGTCCGGATACCGAAAGCCACGCAGGCCATGAATCGGGCATCGTCTTTGGCTGTGCTGTTGGCCAGAGCCTGCCTAGTCTGAAGTGCTGTGGTCTTCGGTTTACCACCTTTGGCCTTCCTCGCCTCTTGTTGACATGCTTCTTTGCATACGGCCAACACCCTTCTCATGGCCTTTTCATCTAAAGGTTTGGGGGTAAATCCCGGTAACCTGACCTGCTGATGTGTTTCGCACCATGTGCAGTGGCCACATTCCTTGACTGAAGAGTGAGTCGTATCGGCAAAGTAAGTTGCAAGCCCACGAGTAAGGCAGCTTTTGCCTGTCAGCAGGTTGACCAGGTCTTGAACGCGCTGCAAATCCTGCTTCTCCTTCTTCACAATTTCCTTGTCTATGCTGTCGATGATTTCGTCAATATCGGCCTGATGACTTGGGAGTTTCTTGCTGACGCGGAAAACCTTTTGGACACCGGTCTTGCTGAGCTTGATGATGCCAGACTCGGCCCACGAGTCTAATTTCCGCGTAACATCAGCGCGACTTACTCCGCCGTTCCCAACAGGAACGTCAACATCGACATTTGTCCAGGTTTGCGCTTTTCTGGAGTGGGATAAGATGTACTTCGATGCTGGTGAGCCGTCGATCTCAAGACCACGATGCTGCAGCACCTGATATTTGTATTCGGAGTACTGAGGAGTGCTAGCCCGGAGAAGGCCGAACTTCAATTCTAGGTAGGCGTAGATGATGGAAAGTTGGGTCTCCTGTCCACCATTAGTTGAGATGAATGCCGACTAAAGTCAAGGAAAATAGATTTGACAAACCCTAATGTCTATCCGCCGTGATTGCGACGTGATAGCCACGGAGAAGGGGTCTCCGGGCTTCAGCTGACAGTTCTCCTTGCTGCAGATCTCCTCAAACAGTGCGCGTAGAGCCAGCATGGATGGTCGTTCGCCATGGATGAAGACGTTTCTGACAAAGAAATCTTTGTCCGAAAGATAGAGCATGCACGTGCTTGGCTTGCCGTCTCGTCCAGCCCTCCCAATCTGTTGGCTATAGGCTTCAAGGCTGCCTGGAAGATCGAAATGGATGATGGTCCGCACGTTCTCCTTGTCGATACCCATGCCAAATGCAATTGTGCCAACAATCTAATAGTAGATGTCAATGTCAGAACTTCCTCCTCCGGAGGCTGTCGGACCAACTCACGATCATGTTTTGACTCTTGAGAAATGTGTCTTGTATTCCGCCCCGTACGTCTGCGTTTAGTCCTCCATGATATGCGCGAGCATTGAACTTCTTTTTAGATAGTTCATTGGCTAGAGTGTCTGCAGCCTGTTCGTATCAAGGTTAGTAAGTTCACCGTTGTGAGGTGAGTAGAAGCTTACCGCATGGGTTGTGACGTATATAATGGATGGGCCGGGGTGTTTCTTCAAGAATTTAGTGCATATCTCGACTTGGTCGTCATCTGTAGTGATAGGCTCGACCAATAATCGGAGACTAGGAGATGTGAGCATGATGCTAACTAAAAGAAGTATTGTGATTGCCTGACTGACTTGGGTCGGTACATGCTTGTCACGAAAAGACCCTCGGGCGGGATGTCGAAAGTAGTTCGAATGTCTTTCGCAACGGCTGCTGTCGCGGTCGCTGTGAGACAGATGACTCTGTCCACATTGGCTTCCTTCGCAAAACGAGCGACTAAGAGCTATCGTCAGTCAGAGCGGAAACAATGGCCGCGTTAGAAACTGACTTTTCAGGTAGTCTGGGCGGAAGGAGTGTCCCCACTGCGATTCTGTCAGATGATGGAATTCGTATTAAGTACTAGTAGGGGGTTTGTGACAATTTGAGACATACTTCTGAAATGCAATGTGCTTCATCAATCGCTAATAAGCGAATGCCACCACGGATTGACTTAAGGGACGCAAGAAAGCCCTCGTTGTTGAGCCGCTCTGGTGCGCAGTATAGGAGATCGAGTTTGCCGCACGCCAGCTTGCTGTGAACATCGACGAACTCTTCGCGACTTTGCGTCGAATCCAGAACGGCTGCAGCGATGCCTCGGCGTCTGAGGGCATCAACTTGGTCCTTCATCAGTGCTATGAGGGGAGAAATGACGACCGTGACACCACTTTCTTCTGGGCTGCGCGATCCTGTTTCCTTGTCGAGCTCCTTTATAGCCACGGCGGGGACCTTTTTATATTAGACATAAGTGACTATTCTGAGCAGAGCCTCCATACCTGATAGCACAAACTCTTTCCTCCGCCAGTAGGAAATACTACAACAGCGCTGTCGCCACTGATGATGCGACTGATTGCTGCTTCCTGCTCCAGACGAAAGCTTTCCAGGCCGAATCGTTCTCGCAAGACTCTGCGGGCCAGAACCGAGTGATCGGAGGAACCTCTCTGTCGTTTCGGTCCTGGTTCTTCACTTTGATCCGTATCCTCATTAGGTCGCTTGGCTGCAGAGGGAGCAGCGTCCACTACAGCGAGCAGATCGGCTTCATCGGCCGAGTCGAAGCCGAAGTCGTCATCCATTGTCGGCGACAATGGAGGCCACGATGGAATCAATCGTTCGTACAATTAAGGTAGTATAGACCGTGGAATCCCTTGGCGGAGGATGATTGAGGTCGGAATCGATGACGTCCCAATTGGGAAAGTACCTATGCGTGCTGGACTTGCCCGGCAATTACGACTGAAACGCGTCGACGCGTCTTCTGTAGGAGGCCGCATCGCGTGGGTCATGTGACTACCACGCCGAGACCCACTTATGTTCGCTCACAATGGAATGAATCTCACCTCATGGATCTCATTTCACAACCCACTCAACGTGTCTCGATGCGCTCGCCAATACTGATCAAAACTTGCAATAAGCGGTGAAGTTCAATCATTGTGATTCTTTGACGTTATCTTTTCATTAATATCCAGCCAAGCTGGAAGCATTTGGTCCGAGGGCCTGCTGGGGCCTCCGTTCCTTGCCAAGTGTAGGATACTGTACGGGTCGGTCACCCTCACCTACGACGCATCATGGAGACAGTGAAGAAAGTGGACCTTCAAACTGTGGACCAACAGAAGAAGACTTGCCATTATGAGGGAGGGCTTCTTCCCCTTTGCATTCCGTCACGCCTCGGCCGATGTTCCCTAAGGTACCTTAGTAAGTACTTGATGAAGGGCAGTGGATCTCTCGGCTCGGGAAAGGCTGCCGTGGTGTGAAGAGCCAAGCCGAACCGAGATTGCATAGGGCGACGATAGCGGACCGGGAATCTTGAGTTGCGTCCAGCAACCCAGATGAACGAACTCGATCAACCTTATGGTTCACTCTTCTCTTGATTGAAGACCAGGGGCCTGGGTGCATGTTACATTCCGATCTGAACCGACCTGAACCAGAGACGTCCTGTCGGGTCGCCGCACTCCCTCAGTCAACAGGTTCATCCTGCTTACATGGGCACGACTTGGGCCTGAGGTTATGGCCAAGAACAGCCAGGTTCCGTCAAGCGCGACTCTATGGCTGGCGTCGATGTGTGAAAATACGAGCACATTGTTTGGACATTAGTCTTGCGAAGAAATGACACGAGTCTCGCAATCTTATCCATCATTGTAAAGTACATTGTCTACTAAATCCGGCTGTACCCTATTGGAACCGTGGACCTCTCAATAACGTAGCTGGGGTACACTCAAAGTCATGGATAATGGTAAGTGACGACCTATTTCTAGGCTCTGGTCGATCTGCTCTCTCTTTCTGACATGTAAGCACGCCACCTCGGATTGAGAAGATAGACAGGCACTCCGAGTAGGAAGATGAAGCCAAAGATACCAGCCAACACACCAAAGGCAGTTTGATACCCCCATTTCTCAACCATTGGAGTCAACCCATAGGTCACACCGAACGAGACCACGTTCTTAGTTCCCACAACCACGACCAGTGCCGGCCCGGGATGTTTGGGCGCGGCTTCGGATGCGAAGCTAGTGGAAATGATAAGAACAGAGGTAAAGGAATACTGGAAGATGGTCCAGCCGATGTATGGACCCCACCATGTGTACCCTCCTGACGCGGTGTAGCCATACAGTAATAGCATTCCCACACCGATGACGGCAGGTAAAGCCAAGACGACCAGGTGGTGTTCCGGGATGTGAACGCCTCGATTCCGACGGGCGAGGTACATGACCAATGGATTGCCGACGAATGTGCAGAACAACATGCCGAGAACGGCGCCAATGACGCCGCCAACATTAATCAACCCAACATCTTCCGACTTCCACTGATAGTTCGTCACCAGAACAGTGTTGTAGGTCAGTGACATGCCAACACCGCAGCCAAGAGCAATGGAAGATGTCAACACCGCATAAATGATTCCCGGGGACGAGAATGATTCCGCCATGTGCTTCCAACTCAAGACCATTACTCGCATTGGTTGGGGATGCGGTGTCGACCAAGGTCTGATGCGCTGTAGATACGACTTTCTCTCCAGAGACTCGGCCGCCTGATCGGCGCCCGGAGCCGTGAGTCCAGACCGATTCATCTCCTCGAGGTAGGCCTGGGCTTCGGAGTCTGGAATGACACGCGTGACACCAAACTCGTCCGTGATGACGACTTGTCCATCGAGCGACTCGGGTTGACGGGTGAACTGTGTTTCGAAGGCGAAAAAGAACGCAATGACCAGTCCGACGGCAACGGTGATAACGAAGACCCAGTAATACCAACGCCATCCCAGGTCATGGTTCAAATATGACGAGGTCAAGTTGATAGTAGAGGATATCGCGTTTTGTGCCATCCAGTAAAGACCAAAGATTTTGGAACGCTCGTGAAGAAAGGTAACTTCAGTGAGCATCAGCGGGAGAAGAGACTCTGAGGCACCCGTAGCCAAGCCTTGAACCACTCGGGCAGCAAGATGCCCGTTATAGCTATTTTGCAAAGCGGCAGCAATTGTCGCTATCAGAAGGATGACCATGAATCCTAAGAATACTGGGCGTCGACCGTATGCCAGAGCAAGAGGAAGGATGATGTAGTTGCCTAATCGTGATGCCTTCGTTAGTTCACTAATCAACCTTTAACGGCAGCTTTTTGAGTCAAGATAAATCTTACCGAGACCAATGCACAAGGTTGGAATAGTAATCAGAAGAACAATGTCTTCGGAAGAATAGCCTTGGGGGCCATACATCGCAAAGAATTCATGCAAAATTGCACCGAGACCACTTGCAATCGACAAACCCATACTAGAGAACCAGCAGCAGCAGAAGACAATACCGTACTTCTCCCAAGGTCTGAAGCGGAGGGGATCGTTGGGATCCGAAGACGGAACTGGAATCCTGCGAACCTCTCCATCTCGGTTGATGAGAAGTGCGTTGCCTTCGACATGGCCATCGTGTTTGTCTTGCAAGCCCGGCTTGTTGAGGTCTTCGAGATGTTCGATTTGGCTGTTGTGCTTCGCGTCGCCACTGCTTCCGGGAGCCAGAGATGAAGACATCTTGAAGGCCGGTGGAGTTCAAGTGCGTTGAAGATTGTTTAGGTGATCTGAGGTGTTGGTGAAGAAGAGAACACCTGCGGGTCACGACTGCGAGCAACCGTCGCAACTGCAGGGAAATTTGATGCACCCAATGTTGTCTTGATGGTGATGATTGGGGATGGACGTCATGATTCCTGTGTATTCGTCGCGGCTGACAGCCTTGTTATTTCAATATCTTGACCATCGTTGAAGATGTTGACCCGAATGGAAATCCGGGGTAGACATGGGCCACCCCGTTCCCCGGAGTGGGGGGTTGGGGTGCGAGGTAGTCTTGATTCCCCCGCAATCTCTCTTCGGTTCGGCTGGGAAACAAAGCGCAATTCGGTTCGGGATCTCAAGCTTTTGAAGAGACCACGGCGCGATGAACTAGTACAAAATCAACGTAGCTCGTATCTTCTCTTGACTATTTCTTGCTCATGAATCCACAGACTAGTCGACAGTCTCGGGCTACGACCTCTCAGTATCGACCTCTTCCACTACGATTATTGAGTGACTGTATCCCACCGGGGGCGGGGCCGGAACTGGAAGCCAACAACACATACGGGGCGCGAAGTCCCAGGGTTCCAACATGGTATTCCGGCCAAGTCATTACGGCAGGCGGTCCTTTATTTTTCGGTCTATGGCTAACTCCCAACATATGAATGTTTCCGCCTCAGTGCCTCGGCGCTGACTAGGACTCGATATCAGGGACATGCCATTGGTCCCCCACTCTGAATCCGGTAGGAAAGGGGTCCTCTGGATCCAAGACGACCTGCTTGTAGCTAGTGATCCATGCTCTGCCCTTGATGATTGGTACCACAGCATCAATATCTCCGACTTTGACAGTCCGAGAGATGCGGCACTCGAAGGCTGTGTCAATGACGCTAGTGTGCTTGAAATATTCTCCAACCGCCAGCTGGCCCTTGGCATGCAGCAGAGCCATCCGCGCACTGGTGCCGGTGCCACAAGGGCTGCGATCAAGACGCCCGGGAGACACAACTACAGTGTTCTTGGCGACCTTCCCAATGGTATCTTGGTGAAGCGGCTCTGTGAATTCGAGAACCGAGATGCCCATGATTTCTGGGTTCTCCGGATGATGAGGCGTGTAGGCAGCTTTCAATGCTGACTTGATCCTTTCGCCAAGCTCCACAAGCTTCGCGCCCTTGCTCGGCTCGATGGTCATCCCGACAGATGCCGCATCCACGATAGCGTACCACATTCCGCCCCAGGCAATGTCGGCGGAGACGGTCCCGATCCCCGGGACGTCAACCTGCAGATCGAACCGATCCACGAAGGCGGGCACATTTTCGAAAGCCACGGATCTGCATTTACCACCTTGGCACTCCGCAGTCACGCCGACAAGACCAGCCGCTGTATCTAGAGCGAACTTGGTGATTGGCTCTTGCATGGGGATCATCCCTGTCTGCAAGAGTACCGTCGCCGTGCAAATGGTGTTGGATCCGGACATTGGCGCATATTCTTCACTTTCCATAATCAGGAATCCTGCAGCGGCTTCGGGGTTGCATGGCGGGAGGATCAAGTTCGTATTCTTTGGCGATCTTCCTCTCGGCTCATTCAGTAGTAGCTGGCGCAGCTCGTATTTATGCGTCAAAAAGTGTTGTAGTTTGTGCCACATGCTCGGGGCCGGCACATCTAGAACACCGCCGGTGATTACATCGCCAACTTCACCCTCCGCGTGGCATCCGACCACGTTGATAACACGACCGGCGCTCATCCTTCTGTGTCGAACAAGGTTGAAGTGATTGTTGGCTAAGTTTGTACTTCAGGTGGTGCCGTGAAGCTTGCGCTTGAGGTGATATTAGATGACCAAGAAATGATGAGTTGAGATGAATAACAGAAGAATGAGGTTTCTGTTCATCTCAGATCAAAATCAACTGTGCTTGATGCTATTTAACAAAATGGCAATGGAGCTCTTGTCACCTACAATGCCCCGCGTTCGCGTAATACCCCGCAGAGCATCGCGGAGACTTGCCCAGTTTCTTAATTTTTGCTCCAGAGATGTTTGCTTGATAGGTAAAGCAAACCAATTTAATT